CAGTAACGGCAGTTGGAGAATTAGTTGATTAATAAAGATATTTCATCTAAGAATTATAGTTGTGAAGTGTATATAATAAACCCCTAGACAACGAAGCCAATGAACCTATTAAGTAAGAATAGGTTTGTAACAAAAGGATAGTTTCAGATTTTCTCGTCAAGCCTCTTCATACATTTATATAAATAACCAACTATTATATTATACATTTTTTTTTGTAGAGGTAACTAAAAATAATAAATTTTTAAAAAGTAACTAAAATTCATAAATTTGTAAAAGTAACTAAAAATCATGAATTTGTAAAAGTAACTAAAAATCATAAATTTGTAAAAGTAACTAAAAATCATAAATTTGTAAAAGTAACTAAAAATCATAAATTTGTAAAAAGTAACTAAAATGCATAAATTTGTACACATAATCAATAAGTATACAAGTTATAAATAGCCAACAATAATACATTTAAGTTTCAAAAATGTTTAACCTTGTGTTATGAGGAAAATGGGTCAAGTTTTGGTGCGGGGACTGGGTCAAGTATGGAGAGTTTGTTAAGTTCTATATCAAGATTTCACATAATTAAGAACAAAGGAAAGGATGAATGATAGACCCCAAAAAAAAAAAAAAAAAAAAAAAAAAAAAAGAAAAAAAAAAAAAAAAAAAAAAAAAAAAAAAAAAAATTTTTTTTTTTTTTTTTTTTTTTTGAAAAAAAAAAAAAAAAAAAAAAAAAAAAAAAAAAAAAGAAGAAGAAAAGAAGAAGAAAAGAAGAAGAAAAGAAAGAAAAGAAAGAACGAATGATCGAAAAAAAAAATAAAGAAAAAGAACAACGGAAAGCAAAAAGAATGAAAGAAAAGAAAGAAAGCAAAAAGAAAGAAAGCAAAAAGAAAGAAAGCAAAAAGAAAGAAAGCAAAAAGAAAGAAAGCAAAAAGAAAGAAAGCAAAAAGAATGAAAGAAAAGAAAGAAAGCAAAAAGAAAGAAAGCAAAAAGAAAGAAAGCAAAAAGAAAGAAAGCAAAAAGAATGAAAGCAAAACAAGAAAGAAAGAGAAAGAAAGAAAGAAATGTGTTAAAAGATGAGTATACTTCTCTATCTCCTCTGTCGCAACGTTTTATTATTCTAATAACTTTGATTTCCACCATGTAAATAAACAAACCCTTTCTACTATGACCCCGTAGTTGGTAGATGTCCTAAAAATGTTATTTCATTTTTGTATTTATAGCCCTACCTACCTGCCTCCTACCTTCCAAAATCTCACCTCCATACGCCTCCCCCCTCCCCACCCCTTCTTCGTACGCCACTGAATACAAACAGATCTCTTGACACACTGAAATCAATTCAAAAAATTTGCTTTAACGTGTTTATTTTGGCTGTTGGCAACACACACAAAAAGCCATCAATGCCGTATAGCAAGATAACTGCCACAAGTTTGGATGTAAGAAGACAGCACTCCCAATGTAGACTCACGGTGACAGTTTCTTCATGTTGGCTCAACTAACGATACCTCTTAAATGGAAACAAACATAAACAGATGAAAATACACGGTAACGAAAACCTGATTAATATACACATGGTTACAAAAATAGAAGTATTTATAGAAAGCTCAAGGCGTGTGTATAAATACATTCATTCCGGTTAAATAAGAAACATATGTGGTCAAATGACAAACATTTGTTATTAAATTAATAACATATGTTGGTTATTTGTGAAATAGATCAGAATTAGTATTTAAAAGACCAGCAAGTGTAGATAAAGACCAAGACAATCTAAAGACATTTGAACTGGGCGCTACGTAAAACACCTTATTTTTCAATATATTTTTTTCTATTTTAAGATAATTGTGACTTACCCCGACCATTTTTCATTGATTATATTGAGCGTGAACTCCGGCTTCAGCCATGGCTGGTAGATAACTTTGAATTCAAGAGTAGAACTCTAATGATGAAAGTTAATAGAAAAAAAAAACAACAATAAGAAGTCGATGAATCCCTTTCAGCGTGGCATTGCTAAATCGGTCGCCGAATCCGAATGATCACTAATTAAGACATTAGTGTAACTAAAGGAGTTCATGGATGGCTGATTTCTACGCTAAAGAAATACTTTAGAAGTCATGTGTTTAAATTGTTTTCATTTTATAATTTTGTGTTCGTTAAAATGTGTATCTATTTAAGTGGTGAAAATGAATATTCACTGTGTAATTCAATAAAAGATTTCCACTTTTATGCATCAAAGAAAGATTTGTATCTTATCTTGTTATATTTATTTTATATATTTCAATATTTAATTTTCAAAAGAGGCTGATTACTAACAATAACGCTGTGTCGTTTGAAAACCTTAAAATAAAGCCATCTTTGCTAACCCGTCATAAATTAAGACTAACAATCGAAAGGCGTGCTAAAAATAATTAAGTTTCTAACAAAAATGACTAATTCCTAGGGGGGCCTCCATTACTTATATCAACAAAATAGGGGGGGGGTGGAAATGTTTGACAGTTGTTGACAAAAGGGGCGGGGGGGGGGTGTTAGAATAGTTTTCTCTATTAAAATTTTAATCTTAAAAATTGACTGGTTATTACATTATTTTAAATAATTTATAAGTGTAAATAGTCATATAATTTTGAGGCTTTTAACAATATGAGATTTAGTTAATGTGTGTCTGTGCACTGCAGATTGCTGGTCAGAATGTAAGCGTAAGAGGTGCCATGGACTACAGCCTGCCGGTTCAAGCCTTCGCAAGCTGCACAGCTCTAGAGGGACATGACCGGATACAGAATCTAGCTCTAAGATTCGTATGCGGGGCATTACGTACTACACCCACGGCTGCCGTGGAAATGATCTCAGACATAGAACCACGCCACATCAGGAGGGACAAAGCTATTCTAACGACCGTAGAGCGTTACCGTCGAATGGAAAGATCGGAACCCTCTTTCCAACTCCGAAACCGCTGGGTAAAGAGGACAAGGCTTCAAAGACTCTCCTTTATGGATGCGGTCCATTCACTTGAGAATAAGCACCCTTTACCAGGAAACATGAAGAAAATACGCCTGATCCAGGAGAGATCACCACAGGATAGCTGCGAACCCCCTGATGTACGTCTAACCCTGTCAAACACGGCAGTTAATGAGTACCCAAAATGAGCAAAAGGGGCAGCACTAGAGACGATTGAGTCCTACAAGGACGACGTTGTATTAGTCTTCACAGACGGCTCCTATCTCGCCAGCGTGAAGCGGGCTGGCTGCGGCGCAATGATAAGAATCCAAAGGGGGCACATCCAACAGAGGAGATTTCAGGCCAAAGTGGCACGAATAGCACTGCAATAGAAGCAGAAATCGAAGCTATATTAATGGGCCTGAAACAAGTGTGCCGTCGGCTAGTCAGACGCAAAACACTTCCATCCATCGTAGTGTTCACCGATTCACAATGTGCTCTAGAAATTGTAAAGAGGTGATATTTTGGAGACGAAGATGGCCAATGCAATACTGGAGCTCGTGCGAGACATACGGTCTCACGGAGGCAAAGTGACCCTTCAATGGATCCCGGGACACGCGGGGAATCCATCACAAGACAGAGCTGACTGTCTTGGGAGGCAAGGCTCTTCCCAGCCTCAACCTAACCGACCAATGACCTAAACTGGGGGTCAAGGCCTGGATTAAGGACCTCTTCCACGATGAATGGATTAAAGAATGGGAACAGGGCACCGCCGCTCGAAAATTTTACTGGAGCATGGCGAAAACAAACCGAAAGGGTGAACAATGGTGGAGTCTTAAACGCCACCAGCAAAGCCTCATCACCCAGATGAGAACAGAGCATTGCCATACCAGGAGCTACCTGAATAGGTTACACCCACTGCAGGATTTGAGCTGCCGTCAATGTAGACAGGGGCCGGAGCCAGTAGAGCACCTTCTAGCCGAGTGCTCGACATTAGCGACTGGTATGACTGTGGTGCTCCCAGCCAGCCACGTCGAGAGCCTACGGGACTGCCTAGGAGATGAGGCAGGCCTGTATCTTACTTGCTGGGACCATTAAAGTGCAATAGCTCGGTCCTTTCAAGTGAATGTAACATAATATAGTTGTCTAACTCTGGGTACACAACTAGTTTAAACAATAGTGAAAGTGCTTGATTGGCCTCTTTTGTAGTTGACTTACTCAAGTGACCCAACTGTTTTAAGTACTAGTGAAAGTTTTTGATTGGCCCCTTGTAGAATTGACTAACTCAGGGTACACATCTTTTGAATCGCTTGACTATAAACTTACTTTTCCACCCTTAATTACAACGCAACTCTCTGGGTCGATTTCAGAAACCTTCTTACAGTTGGTACTCTCGAACTTTACATCGAAGAAATGAAAGGAAACACCAGACACAATCTGTGGATATCGTTTTTAAAAATCAAATTCGGAAAATTTCATTCGTTTTTTGTTTTTCGTTGTTGTGTTTATGTTGTTTTTTTAAATTTTAGATGTGTGTTTAAGCTGTTGTGTTCAAGTTTAAATATTGTATGGTGGGGGCTTACCCAAGCTGTCACAATGACACTCAGAGCATACGACTGTCACGTTCCTAGGACTTACCCAGGCTGTCACAATGACACTCAGCACACACGACTGTCACCTTTCTGGGATTTTGGGGAGGGGGGGGGGGGCTCTTCCACAAGC